CTCAGCTGAGATGGGATCCTCAGGCCGGGGAGGGGCAGAGGTTGGGCCTGAGGCCTGGACCGGTCGGTCACTTAGGCGAGGACCGGATTCCTGCTTGAAGGATGGAGACTTGTCTCAGGGTGACAGCCGATCTCTCCCTCACTCTGGGCCCACAGCACCCTTCTTCCTTTGGCCCTGGCTCTCACTGCCTTTCCATCCGGAGTTGTCCGCATGTGAAAACTCCCCAGGACCGGGACTTTGCCAGAAACAGGCGCTGTTTCCCTCGGTGGAGACAGTGTTTTCTTCTCCACTACAACTTGTCCAAGCCCGTTTCGCCATCACCCGCTCACTGTCTCGGCCTCTTCCTTCACCCTAAGGACCCTCGTCCTCTCCAGCCCGCCCCCAAGCTCCTCTGTCCCCGTTCTCGGGTCGTGTTCCCCGTCCCCTCCCCCCCCACACCCCCACCGTCCTCCCGAACATCCCGGCACCCTCCTTCCTAATCTCGGAGGCATCTCGTCTGGCTGAGCTGGAGAATTCCGGGATCTAGGCCATACTCCTTCACAGACAGCCCCATCCTTGGGAGGAGGAACAGGAGAGAGCCTGGGGGGAAACGGGGACAGGGGGAGGGTCGGGTCAGGAGCCACTGAAGACAGAAGCTGTAGGAGACTGCGACTGAGGGGAATGCCAAGGAGCTAAGGCCAAAGCAGAAAGGCACTGGCTGGGAGCCATTTGTGGGAGGGCCCAGGTCCCTTTCCTGAGACAGGGACTCATGGGCCCAGAGGTAAGGGCCCTTAGTTGTCTAAGCAAAAAAACACCTCACCGGGCATGGTGGGGCACACTTGTAATCCCAGCACTCGGGAGGCTGAGGCAGGAGGATCACTGTGCTGTGAGTTCGAGACCAGCCTGGGCTACATGGTGAGTTCCAGGTCAGTCTCAACTATATACTGAGACCCTGTCTCAAAAAACCAAAAAAAAAAAAAAAAAGCACCAACACCCATCTTTCACCTTCCAGCCCCTCAAACTGCCCACACCCTTCTCCTGTAACAGGACCCTTAGCAAGATCACTCTCTCTGATAGACAATACCCAGATTTCAGTGTTGAAAAGAGAAACGACGACAAGAGGGTCTCCAGGAATGGAGTGGGTTGTAGGAAAGAAAAACAGGACACAAGACTCCTATCGGATTTTGACAGCAGGTATGGTGTCCAGGGAAAAAGAAACTGGATAGCCAGGGACTGAAAAACCCACCAAGCTAAAATAAGACCTCCAGGACTCTTCCCCAGGCACTGACCTATCCAGCCAGATCTCTGCTGGACAAAACCTCTGCTCCTCTCTCATCTCTTCCCCAGCCAGGTCCCATCTCCTAGAGAAATGGATCCCCCTCTGTAAGTCCTCCCTGTGCGTGGGTGGAAGAGCTGGGCTTCATTAGTGGACCATGGTCCAGGGCAGGGGATCCAGGCCCAGCAGGGGTAGGAGGAGAAGGCGTCACTTCCGGGGGCCTTCGCCAGTGTCTGGTGGCTCTCTGCTCTCTGATTGGGCCGAAGTGGCCGGGTCAGACGTGTGACCCAGTGCTATGGAAGGGCTGTGCCCCAGCGCCCCATGTCTTCCTACTCATCTGCTCCCCAGAGTGCTGTCCGCTGCGCGCCTGGTTCCTTAAGCCCTGCTCCCTGGGGTGAGTGGCACGCTGGCTTGGTGCTGGTGAGGTAGGAAGGACAGGAAGAAGTGGGCTCTCGGCTGGGGGAGGGGCAGGCCACTGGAACCTACAGGCACTGACCTTTGTCGAGAAGAGTGTAGCTTTCCCAGAATGGGAGGAGCAGGACAGAGCAGGACTAGGGGGTGGGGTGCTGGTTCGGAGGGACTGATCACAGACATGGTGGAATACAGCACCGCACCGCCCTGGCTGGCTCCCGGAAAAGGAGACCTGGGCCCAGGGAGAAAATAAAGGAGGAGCATTAGGGTTAGAGAACCCAGCACCGAGATGGACATAGGCCCAGCCTCCATTCTCACCCGGTCACTCCTGGTTAGCTTAAGGCTCTGAATCCTGGGGCTGAGGAAGCTGGATCAGGCAAGCCAGGGCACAAGGAAGAGGGTAAGGGGAGGAGGACTTGTGCATGTTGACAGACCTAGAGGAAATCCCAATGTTGAATCAGGTGCAGACCTCTTTGCACAAGTTGTGAAAAGAGGAGGAAGCCATGTGGGGGGTCCTGGGAAGGAACCGGAAGGGGTCTGCAGAGGGGCAGAGGGGCAGGTGCAGCTCTGAGACAGAGGTTGGCTGCTGTCTCGGGGGCAGTAAGCCATGTGCGACGGGCATCATCCCGCTCAGCAGGCACCCATTCCTGGGCCACTTGCCTCAGGAAGGAAATCCAGGACTGTTAGGCCACCTCAGTTTTTTCAGAACATGGAATGCAAAGAAAAACTCCAGGAGGCTTTACGTGTGGGGTAAATAGGGAAAGAATGAGAGGCTAACGTCTCGCACCAGCTTGTAATCCCTGCCTTCCGGTGGTCCCCGTTATCTCTTTGCTGAATCCCCCTCCCACATTATGCACACTTACTGCTTCCTCATCCTGCCCTGTACTCCACTTTCCATGCTTCTCCAGGTTGGCGCCACAGTTCTCCCTCTGCGCGTCCCACCCTGGATTCTCAGCCCTAACAACGGAGCTCACTCAGAATTGGGAACCAGTTGTGTGTGTGTGTGTGTGGTGTCCTGCTGCTCTCCGTGGGGTGTGGGGGGCACTGAACCCATTTCAGAGTCACTGACAGAGAGACCACGCCCTATGCTGTAGTCACAGGACGACACGGGGACAGCTCTCCCAGCATCTGCCCTGCTTTCAAGGCAGCCTTCTCCTTGAAACGGCCACTCTTCCTGTCACCTACAGGAGAGATTCCAGACCTTCTTCCTCTGCCCGCCTGTGCCCCACCCCACTCTGCCCAGAAGTGCAAGAGCCCAAGCCGCCTCCATGGCCGCAGGAAGGATTCAGGGGAGAGGCCCCATACAGGGAGCCCCTCCAGCCAGACACTCCAGCCAGAATGCAGCTGACTGGTAAGAACGCACTCAAGGGAGGAGGGCCGGATTGGAACACAGTGAGGGAGAGAAAAAAGAGATACTAGGGGGATGGGGCGGGGGATCCACTCTTCAGGGAACACGGTGTCTGATCCTTAGAAGCCCTGGATTCAGGTCTGGGTCCTACATGAGAAATCCTGGACCACCACCTGACAATGACTTCTTCCTTATCCCCCGCCACCTTTCAACCTCATTTCTCCTCATCTAAGAATTGCTCCTGGTGGTCCTTCTTCTCCTTACTGCAAGACTAACTCTGTCCAGCCCAGCTCCACCTGCCTGTGACCCCCGACTCCTAAATAAGCTGCTTCGTGATGCCCATGTCCTTCATGGCAGACTGGTAAGAGCCCCACGCACTAGCCCTTCTGCCCCCTTAGTTGGTAGCTGCCTTCACCCACACTGCTTTCTTACACTCCCTGACCAATGACTATGACTCAAGTCTTCGGTGAGACCCCCGGCACCAGGCATGGTGGCACATGTCTATAACCCCAGGTACTCAGGAAGCTGAGGCAGGAAGATTGTCAGTTTGAGCCCAGTCTGGAGAACTTAGCCAGACCTTGTCAGGAAAGGAAAGGGAAGAAAAGGTGACAGGGGCTAGGAGTGCACCTCAGTGGTAGAGCGCTTACCTAGCCTGAGCAAGGCCCTGAGTTCAATCCCTGAACCACCCCTCAAAAAAAAAAAAAAAAAAAAAAAAAAAAAAAAAAAAAAAAAAATTAAAAAAAAAAAAAAAAAAAAAAAAAAAAAAGAAAGAAAGAAAGACTTCTGCCTGCTATTGATCACCTCCTGGCAAGGACCGTGATTTGCACTGGAGCCTTTCTTAGGAGCCCTAGTCTGGACAGAGTGTTCATGGGAGACTCCCTCTGCTACTGGGCCACCACACCCTCCTCTATTTCAGCTCCCTTCTCCCCCTACCATCTTTCTCAACAGAGCCAGTGCCCAGACGTTAACCCTTTGTCCGCACCCGTCCTGCTGCCTGCTGTGGACTTCAGCTTGGGAGAATGGAAAGCTCAGACGGTGAGAAAGCCACGTGGAGCCTGGGGGTGTAGCTCAGCGGTGGAGCACCTGCCTGGCAGCATGTGTGAGGCTCTGGCTTTGGTGCCCAACATCAAAGAAGAAAAAAAGAGAGGGGGAAGGAGGGAGAGAAGCAGGGAGGGAAAAAAGAAAACTGTCCCTTACACTGCCTTCCGTAAGTCTGGCCACCACCGAGTCCCTATTGTTTACCATCGATTCTGCTAAACTTCTGAGCTCCCTAAAAATATCTTACCTTAAGCTTGGCCAGCTGAATCCAACCTACATTCACCTACGATGGTGACCCCTGCCAAGACGCAGGATTCGAGCCTAATATGTTAAACAGATTTGAGGCTGAACACGTGCAAAGCAGAATAGAAGTCTCTCGTGGCCAGGCCTCTGACCTATGCTCCTTCAACCTTCGTAAAATGGCATCGAGTATGGCTGTGTATATAAATACCTGCAGAGCCAGGGATTTAGCTCGGTGGTGCCGGCGCCTGCCTCTCAAGGGCAAGGACCCGACTTCAATTCCCGGTACCAAAAATTAATAATAATTAAAAAATAAATAAATACCTGCAGAGGACACAAAGCTGGGAAGTACCATGAAGCAACAAAAGCTAGAATCAGGAGGAATTAAGTTTCAAGGTGGGATTTGACAGAGATGTACACGTCATTGACCTTACAGGTGTAAACTGAGTAGGGTCCTCTTCCAGTGGTCAGTGGCCTCCCTCGTTCAGTCTTTCAGTCGCACGAAAGATCTCAGAGCGCCGCACAGGCTCCAAAGGTAGCAGGTAACATTATTGCAGCACCTCTTATTTTTACTCACTTATTTTTTGCAGGGCTGGGGATCAAACCCGAGGCCTTGTGCACGCTAGGCGAGTGCTCTGCGGCTGAGCTGCACCCCAGCCCTGAAGCAGCCATGTTTTAGTTGTTTCTGTATCAGCACACGTCTATAGTACATCATGGCCGCATTCCCAGTGGGGAGTTGGTACATACACAACGCTTCTCAGTTCTTTTGTATCCCCTCGCCCTCCTCTCCTCCTCCTCTCGTCTACCTCTTGGTCCACTTCCCATCTGCAAAAACTCTATCTCCCATTTAGCTGTCTTTTACTTTGCTCTTTATTTATATTTTGGATTTCTCATGTAAGAGAAACAATGCAATATTTAAGCTTATATGTCTGATATATTTCACTTAATATTATGGTATCGAGGTGCACCCATTAAGATGAGTGTGGTGGCACATGTCTGTAACCCTAGCACTCGGGAGGCTGAGGCAAGAGGATCACCATGAGTGCTAGGCTACAAAGTGAGTAGCCTGTCATAGCAAGTGAGTAGTTATATAGCAAAACCTTGTCTTGGAAACAATCAAGGTGTATCCATTTTCCTATAAATGACTCGTTTATTCTTTATGGCAGAGTAGTGCTCCACTGTGTATACATATCACATTTTCTTTATCCATTCATCTGTTGATAGACATATAGGCTGTGAAGCAGTTTTTTTGCTTTGAGACAAGGTCTCACTATGTAGCCCAGGCTGGCCTTGAACTCACAGAAATCCTCCTGCCTCAGCCTCCTGAGTACTGGGATGACAGGCATGCACCACCATACCTAGCCTGAAGCACTTATTTTTAAAACTGATAGTTCTGGACTGCTGTAGAAATTTAGTTAGCATCCACGTTGTAGAAAAATTCCTATAGAACTCTATTCTCTCTTTGTCACTGTTTTATGTTTTGTACTGAGGATTGAACCTAGGACCTTTATACTAACCTACATCCTAGTCCACTTTTTTTTTTTTCTAGTACCAGAGATTGAACTTGGGACCTTGTGCTTGCCAGGCATGCACAGTGCCACTGAGCTACATCCCTGACCCCCTGACCCACTTTTTAATCTGAGACAGGATCTTGCTGAGTTGCGAATTGCCCAATCTGAGTTTAAACTCAAAATCCTCTTGTCTCAGCCTCCCAAAGTGTTGGGACTTACTGGCATGCACTACTACGCCCAACTAGAACTCTATTCTGGAGTGGACTATCCTTAAAAATATGAGCCCAACTACTGCACATCCCCCCTCAAGACACACACTAATTATTAAGAGGGACCATCTTAAACATGTCCAGAAGAAAGCACCCAAATAAAAGGCCAGAAAGCATATTGAATGAGGAATGGTTAAAGAAACAAAGCCACAAACCTGACTGATTAGGCTGGAGACGAGTAGCCTGTGTGCAGCAAGAGCTGATTTCTCCTAGAACCCAGATCAACTCTTCTTCCTCCCGAGTCCCAGAACCCTCTTCCTTCCCCACAAGACTGCTAGGGGCACTGGGTCAGGCAGAGGGACAGCACCTATAGATTGTTTCTGTCCCACTTCTGCCACCGTTTAAGTCCCTTCCCATCATCTTTATGAACGGTACGACATCTCATCTCGATTTTTAGTTTTAAAACGCTATAGTCCTAAGGGTTTTTTTTCAGCAGAAAGAGCAGTCATGCAGTACTGAAACCAAGAGCTAAAAGTCAGTGTAAGACCAGCTGGATTGGTGGATACTGGAGTTATTGAAGCAAGAGGCCGATGACCAATTGTCGGGAGACTGAAGGAATTCCTGAGCTGGGTGGGACCCCGGTCCTGTCCAATTCTCAGCTCCTATGATTCATCCTGCTGGCGGCTCCTCCAGGCTCCCCACCCACCATTAGCAAGGCCTTTGAAGCCTCCCGCTTCTTTTCCATCCCTTTCCTAGGAGCAGACCAAAGCACAGGACATTCTAGGAGCAGTGACCCTTCTGCTGGAGGGAGTGATGGCAGCTCGGGGACAGCTGGGACCCACGTGCCTCTCATCCCTCCTGGGACAGCTTTCTGGACAGGTCCGCCTCCTCCTTGGGGCCCTGCAGAGCCTCCTGGGGACCCAGGTAAGTCCCCAGTTGAGGAACCTACAGAAACGCCTCCGCCTCAGTCGCCCAAAAGACCTGAGGGAAGAAAGGGGATCCCGGGACGGTGAGGGGAGAGGCACCTCCCAAGGAGTGCTCCCTCCCAGCTCGGTCTTCCTACAAAGTGGAGGAGGCTGGGGGTCTGGGCCTGGTCTCTGGCCTCAGGCCCATCCTCTGCCCTCAGCTTCCTCCACAGGGCAGGACCACAGTTCACAAGGACCCCAATGCCATCTTCCTGAGCTTCCAACAACTTCTCCGAGGAAAGGTGCGTTTCCTGCTGCTTGTAGGAGGGCCCACCCTCTGTGCCAGGCGGGCCCTGCCCACCACAGCTGTCCCAAGCAATACCTCTCTGTTCCTCCCACTAAACAAGCTCCCAAACAGGACTTCTGCGTTGCTGGAGACGAACTTCAATGTCTCAGCCAGAACTACTGGCTCTGGACTTCTGCACAGGCTGCAGGGATTCAGAGCCAAGATTCCAGGTCTGCTGAATCAGACTTCCGGGTCTTCAGACCAAATCCCTGGACACCTGAAGGGGACACACAGACCCTTGAACGGAACTCATGGACTCCTTCCTGGAGCCTCACCCAGAGGCCTAGAAGTCCCAGACATTCCACCAGGAATTTTAGACACAGGCTTCCGGCCACCCCACCTCCAGCCTGGATATTCTCCTTCCCCGGCCCCTCCTCCTGCTGGACAGTGCACACTCTTCTCTCCTCCACCCACCTTGCCCACACCTCTCATCCAGCTCCACCCCCTGCTTCCTGACCCTTCTAGCACACCCAACTCCAGCAGCCCTCTCCTGGCCACAGCCCACCCTCACCCCCGGAGGTCTCAGGAAGGGTAAGGTACCCAAGCACTGCCAGACGGGAAGGGCCCTGGCAGCCAGCCGCAGCCCCACCAGCCGTCCTGCGTCTACCTGCAACTGGAAGCCCTGGCAGAGAGGGCTGCACAGGACAGAAAAGGGGACTGCTTTTCACTGTACGTTATAACAGAAGCTATTTTTTTAAGCTATTGACAATAAGTATTCATCCGAGCAGCTAGTTAGTGTTGGTCTGTTTTCTGTATAATTTTGCAAATCACATCTGAGTGCTCTTTTTCAGGATAATCCTGCAAAGGCTTGGCTTGGCCCGGCCTGGCCTGGCCTTTGAACAGAGGTAGATTAATTAGCCTTGTGTCAGAAAACAGAAAGTGTAATTTCCTTTGCTTTAAGTTTAAGGCCTTCCAATGCCCTGTCCCCTTTATCATCATTCCTGGTGGGACTGTTTGCTCCTCAATTTTTGAGATCCTTATTCCTGATAAATGAGTAACAGGTGTCTATTAGAAAGGCCAGGGTGTTAGCTCAGTGGCGCCACTGCCTGCCTCACAAGCACCAGGTCCCGAGTTTGATCCCCAGTATCAAAAAAAAGAAAGGCTGTCCCTACACAAATATACGAAATGAGCTTGGAAAAGAATAAATCAGAGTACTGTAAAGCTAACTAAAAAGGGAAAGACGTTCTTCACAGTGGGGAAACAGATCCCACACCCTGACCCACCTCCCAAAAAAGCTAACAGGAAGCCTTGCAGAGCCTCACACCCCAGGTAAGGCTGTGCAGACCTTTCAGTAAAGACCTGCATCCAACAGCTGAGCAAACAGCTAGCCCTGCAGCGGCTCAGCAGGAGGCTTCACCAGCCCTGGGTTTCTGCTTCCCTCCTGTGGAGGTCAGGGGGAAGTGCAGGAAGTGGCATGAGGGGTTCCCTGGGCTGACGCAGCAGGCCAAGCTAAAGCGCAAGTGAAGGCGTATTTCCCATCCCACAAGTGCAGCAAAAAACGCAGCCTGTGTAACTACCGTGAACGCCACTAGGGGATATCTAAAAAGGCGCAGGCCTCTGCAGCGATGCAAAGAGCCACTACCTCCAGGCTCCTGTAGGAAACCAGCCGGAGATTTCCCTTCTCCCTCTCCCCAAAGGAAAGGAAGAAAGGGTACCATGTGGGTAGAGGATCCAGGAATCCAGAGTGCCAAACATTGCCTTAAACACCCCAGGGCCCCTAAGCGCATCCCGAAAGAGTTGGGTGGAAATCAGGAACCATGTGTATATTCCCTTTCAGCTCGCCCCACTTTATAAGGTAGGTGTTGCCGTCTCTACAGAGGAAACAGGCTGTCAGACTCCCACTGCGCACCCTATCATTCACTGATTCTGATTGCCGGGATGTTCCCAGGTCTGTAGGGAGTAAGTACATCACCTATTAAGGGTTCTGAGTAGAAAACCAAAGCTCTTGGTGGCAGTGGCTAATCTGGACACCTCCAGGTGTCCTCTCTCCACGGGCAGAACAGTTACTAGGGAGAAGGAATCAAATGCACAGAGCTGGGGGTGTAGCTCAGTGGCAGAATAAGTGCCCTAGTCTGTGAGGTCCTAGGTTCAATCCCCAGCGTTGAAGAAAAACAAAAACGGATGCACAAAGCTCAACATGTTCTCCAGACCTCAGATGGTATCAGCAGAAGAGAATTAGTTCCACACTACAAATTCTAGTACGAAGTGGCAACTGCATACTATAATTTACTGAAGTAGGCTAAATTTAATAATCAAAAATAATCAAACTAAACACTTTGCAACATATGAAAGAGCCAGCACCAAGAACAAGGTATGTCAAAGAGATCAAAGATTTAGAGGCTCTCAGCACAGGAGAGGCGAGGGTAGCAAAACTGCAAATGCAGGAAGATAGTTCCAGCGTTTCACTTACTCTAGTTCAGGGCCGACTAAAATAAACTCTTGCGCTTCAGTGGGACAGAACCCGCCCCTAGTAAGACTCTAACCTGGACTGGGGATGTAGTTCAGCAGTAGAGCCCTTGCCTAGCAGGGCTGGGTTTGGTCCCTACAGCAAAAACAAAACACACCTGTACTCCCAGCACTTGGGAGGTTGAGGCAGGAGGATCACTGTGAGTTCAAGACCAGCCTGGGCTACATAGTGAGTTCCAGGGCAATCTCACTACATAATAAGACCCTGTCTCAAACAAACAAACAAACAAAAAACGGGAAAATAAAAAAATCATCGTCATCTAACCTGAGGCTGGGGGATGTGTGGGGCCCTGAAGTCAATTCCCAAGCACCAAAGGAAAAAAAGAAAAAGGATGTAACCCATTCCCAAACCACCCCATCTGGTTGCTTCCATCCCTTCTTACCTCACACACACACACTACAATCAGAACACTCATCCCTATTCTATTTAAAGCAGTTCTTTATTTGCCACCCCAGGTCAGCCCAAACCTGCTATGATATCCTAAAAACTATTACTAGTAATTAGGTTCTCACACTGAATACAAATCTGTCCTCCTCCAACCCCTCAAAAGATATGACCCATGGAAAAGTTCTAAGATTCCATAAAAATTCATCCCAACCTCACTGTGTCTCCATCCCCCACCACCTGGGGCAAGGTACACAAACACCTTCCTCCCCTACTGTTTCTACCAGCTCCTGTGAAGACTGAAAATGACAGGGAAGGAGACACCACAGGCATCCCAGCAGGCACAGCAGGGTATCAAGGGACAAGTGCTTAATTCAGAGAATCTTTCTGAGCTATTACCTTGACCTCCCAGGGGAAGAGTCCCAGGGAACGCTAGTGCCAGGCTGAAGAGTCAGCTCACACGCCGGGGCCCTTGTGACCACCATTTCCTTAACCTGTTTCTTTTCCCACTTACGAGTGAGTGACTGCAGTCAAGCCGGGGCATTGTCCCGGGCCCTGGCACTGGACTGCCAAGCTCATTGGTATTGCTGCCCTGTCCACCTCACTGGTCCGTACAGCAGCTCCCTGGTCGGTGCCATCACCACTCAGCCTGCTTCCCAGATCACCCAGGAGCGGAGGGCAGAGACAGTTCCTCCACTTGCTTCCACAGCCACCAAGTCCACTCTTCTTCCTTTCGTCAGACTCCACGCCTGTGTCTAAAGGCCTCCACCCAAAGCCTCCATAAAATTGAACATTCCCAGCCCATGCGAGTGACTCATTCACATCAACGTGAAGCGACTCCTAAGAGACTGAAAGTGCTGGAAGGACAGGAGCAGGGCTCCATGCCAATCCAAAACTCTTTGCCAAATGGGTGGTATCTTCCGGGCCTGGGGTACTATCCTCAGGAGCCAAAGCACACTTCCTCCCGGATCAAAAGCCGCACTGGAGGGTAAATGTTGGAAAGAGCCAGGAGACTGAGATAACCTTACACTGGTACCAAAAGGCCAAGACAGATGCTGTATCAATACATGATCATCTGGCTGTGGGCCAGAAACACACCATAGACAAATCAGGGGGGAAATCATTTTAAAGGAAACGAAAGTTTGTTAAAAGAAGGGGTAAGGGAAGTTTGAAAAAGTGAGATTTCAATTTTAAAAACCATGTACACGAAACAACTGCTGATTCATCTTCGGCTCGCTCACTGGGTCTTTCATGGGCAAGTCAGTCTCCTTGAGTCCAGGCTTGCTGAAGATGCTCCGCAGCAGAGAGAAAGCCAGTCCCTCCTCAACAAGGACCCCAGCAACTTCCGCTCAGACTCGAATGTCCAGAACCCGAGCGACCTGGTGGTAAAGCTGGCTTCCCACCAGGTTCAGAAGGCCAGTTTCTTCATCAGCAGATAAACTCTGGAATCCACCTCGAAGCCATGCAGGTTGTTGGCATCACCCTGCAGCCTCATGAGCAGGCCCCCGTAGGACACATAGGCAGAGCTGAAACAGAGGCCCTGTCCTGTGAGTGTGAGCTCCGACGCAGCTGACACCCACCCACTTTCCATCCCAGCATGAGAGAGACAAGAGGCACTGTCCAGAGGCTGTCATTAGGAGCTAAAACTTCAGACAAGGTGAAAGCACAGATGTGTGCAAAGTGATGTTTTATACAAGCAAAGGCAGAAAACAACTACGCCACAGCTGGGGGGATGGTAAATGAATTATGCTGGATCTATTTACTGGAATGTTCTGCAGCTATTAAAATGTTTAGGAAAAGCTTTATTAACACAGGAAAGTTATGTTTTACAAACGTTAAGCAAAAAGAGAAAACACTATAATGAACATGATCTCAAAGAAAAAGACCAGAAAAATAAGAATGCTGGCCATGGGGCACAGGCCTGTAATTTCAGCTACTCCACAGGCTGAGGCAGGAGGATCACAAGTCTGAGGCCCGTCTAGGCAACTCAGCAAGATCCCGTCTCAAAATAAAAAGGGCTGGGCCAGGGATTTAGCTCAGTGGTTCCGCTGCCTGCCTTGCAAAGTGCAAGGACCCAAGTTTGATCCCTGGTACCAAAAAATAAAAAATAAATTAAAATAAAAAGGGCCAGGAGTGTAGATCAATGGCAGAGTACTTACATAACATATGTGAGGCCCTCGATTATTAAAAACAAAACAAAAAAACCTAGAATATTCAAAAATGTTTATGCAAAAGATACCCTCTGGGTATAGAACTGTAGGTGACTTTTTCCTTTTTCATATTACTTCTCTGCTTTTCAATTTTTTTCTGTACTGGGGATCGAACTCAGGACCTTGAGCCTGTAAGGCAGGCAGCAGCACCACTGAGCTACATCCCTGGTCCCGCTTTTCAATTTCTCAAAAGACTACACGTTGTTTTAATAAAAAAATTTTTGTTTTAATTTTTTAGTACCAGGGATCGAACTCGGGTCCTTGCACTTATGAGGCCAGTGCTGGAACCACTGAGCTAAATCCCTGGCCCCTTAATAAAATTTTATAGAAAAGAAATAAATAATTGGGCAGGGAAACCAAAGAACTAGAGATTGGGTTACAAAGTAGCAAAACACATAAAAAAAAAAAAAGCTTAGCAATTTAATCACTTAATGCTGCAGAGAGTTCTTGGAGAAATCCACTCTCCTCTGCACCTCACACAGCAAGATTACCTGAGATTCTACGAAGGGCAGAGTGAGCAGCCAAGTACTGCAGACTGGGAACTGTCCCCAGAGCAGTCTCTTTTGGTCCTACCCATGTCCGAGGTGCTTCAGGAGGACCCAACGCAGTAGTGGCAGGAACACAGCCCAAATTTTCAGGACAGGGAGAGGAAAAGGATTCTCACCAGACTACATGACTTACAGGCGTGTTGCTGCTTCAGTAGATGTTTCATCCCCCTCGATCCTGTATACTTTCCCATACATCACATACTCAAATTGGTCAGCCCTGTGGAAAAACTGAGCAAAGTTATACTTCATAATAATTAGCAGTACTATGAGGCCTTGATGAATGGTAAATGGGCTGGGCATGCTGACGCATGCTTATAATCCCAGCTACTCAGGCCGCTAAGGTAGGAGGATCACAAGTTCAAAGCCAGCCCGGGCAATTTAGCAAGACCCTGTCTCAAAATAAAAATTTTTAAAAATAGTTGTGACTGGGCCAGGGATTTAGCTCAGTGGTGCCACCGAATGCCTCGCAAGCCGAAGGGCCCAAGTTCGATCCCTGGTACCAAAAAAAAAGAGCTGGGGATGTAGGTTAGTGATAGAGTGCTTGCCTAGCAAGTGTGAGGCCCTGCAGAGATTGAATTACCAGTACAAGAGAAAAAAATGTTAACCCATAAATAAAAAATAAAATGGCACCTGGCAAGTAAGTGCCAGCATTATGACAACAGGTAACTTAGAAACATATTTAGTCCTCACAGCATTTAGTCATTTAGTCCCCCAGCAATCCTGTGAGCCAGGGCGCACAGCCTCAGTCTTCAAAACACTGTAATTCACAAGCATGTTATCAGTCCCCTCAATAAACAGTTTGTTTGAGTTTAGTAGTACGTGTTTGCATACCATAATAATGACCATGACGAACTGACACAAATACACGGTGCATCTTAATTTTTTTTACTTCCCCTTCCATTTCCCTCCCGCCCACCTTCCTAGTTGTTTGATTTCTTAACTGCAATAATTTCCTTAAGGTTATTCAAATCCTGCCGATAATCATTTACTCCAGGAAGGTTCTTCTAGGCCCAGGGATGGAGTTCAATAGCAAAGAACATTGGTGAGGTCCCAGTTTACATCCCCAGCACCACAAACAAATAAACAAAAAAATAATCATAGCCAGGCGTGGTGAGGCATGCCTATAAAACCAGCACTTGGGGGTCTGAGGCAGGACAATCATCATGAGTGTGAAGCCAGCCTGGGCTACACAGTGAGATCATGTCTCAAAAATATATATATAAAATAATAAGTAAAGGTCTTTCTATACCATTTAGCTATTTAATCTTCATGGCATACCTCAAGCGCTCCCTTCTCTACTCCCTCACCTGGAAGGCCTGTCATCTGTGGGGTTGTATTCACCGTCATCAAGGGTACCATCTTCATACAAGGTACTAGCTATAACCAATCGGAACTTGTCACCTGAAAATAACAGCAATATCTCAGGATGAAGAGCTGAAATTGTGAAAAGGTTAAAAAAAAGAACAACTCTTGCTGTGCTCAATACTTACCCAAGTCTACAGGGTAAATCTGAATGTTTACATCTAAGATGAGGTCCATCTTGAACGATTCACTCTCACAATGCAGTCGAGACACTAGGGAGAAATACAAAGAGAATGACAGACATAATACCAGACCCAGGACAGTTTTGGGATTAAGTGCAACGAACTTTTAACCTAGGCTCCATCCCCTGTCCTCTCCTCTGCTTTCATAAAACTACAAACTCAATCAGAACCACGCATGCAAGAAGGAAAATGGCAAAATTTGTCAGGCATGATGGCATATACCTATCATCACAGGACTCTTGGAGGCTGAGACAGGAGGATCACAAGTTTGAGTTTAGCCTGGGTAAGTTAGCAATTTAGTGAGACCCTGTCTCAAAATAACAGAAGGCTGGGCGTATATATAGCTCAGTGCAAAAGCCCTGGGTTGTGGGGGGCAGGGGGCTATGGAAAGTGAGCAGAATCTCACAGAAGAATCAAAGATCCTCTGGCAGTAAATAATATCCAGGCTTTGCACTAATTATTCGTTCATGCAAAGATTTCCATTTTGTGTACTAGGCATTATGGTGAGGGGACTACCAAAATGTTTAAGAACTGATGTCTGAGCCAGGCATGGTGGTAGCACTCCTGTAATCCCAGCATTCGGGAGGCTGAGGCAGGAGGATCGCTGTGAGTTCGAGACCAGCCTGGGCTACATAGTGAGTTCCAGGACAGTCTCAACTACATAGTGAGACCCTGTCTCAAAAACCTAAAAAAAAAAAAAAAAAAAAACTGATGTCTGAACCAGGGACTGTGGCACACACCTATAATCCCAGCACTCAAGCGACTGAGGCAGGATTTGGCAATTTCAAATTTGAGACCAGCCAGGGCTACATAACAAATTCAAGGCCAGCCTGAACTACGTGTCTACATATGAAGACTGTCTCAGAAAACAAAGTAACAACAAAAGAGAACAATGTCTGACTTGAAAAACATGTCTCCAGGTAACAAAAGTGGCACCCCAAAAAAAAAAATCATTAATCCACAGTACAATAGTTATATGAGGTGCAACTGAAAAATATACTGTTTAAATTTTATAAATTCATTAGAGCAAAAGACACATTGCCACTAGTCCACCTCAAAATACTTCCCCTCACTCCAAACACTTAGGCCATTGTTCTTGATACTTTCTGAAGCAGTCCTGAAGTCCTCTTTTGTGTCTTTAGTTGCTCTATTGTGGCTGTCTCGATGTCCTGAATTGATTTCAAAACGTTTACCTTTCACGGTCATTTTGGCTTTGGGGAAGAGCCAGATGTCCCAAGGTGCCAGATCCAGTGGACGAGGACACTGATGCTTTCACCAGCCTGCCTTTTGGCTGGATGGCACCCAGCCGCAGCACTGTACTTTGGATCACACTTCATAAAGACACCCAACAAACTAGGAAGGACTACCAGGACTGCTTCAGAAAGTGGCAAGAGTAGGGCTGGGGATTGAGCTCAGTGGTTCCAGCGCCTGCTTTGCAAGTGCAAGGACCCAAATTCAATTCCCGGTACCAATAAATAAATAAATAAAGTGGCAAGAACACTGGCTAAGTGTTCGGTGACAGTATTTTGACGGAGATCAACGGTGGTATCTTTTACTGTGGTAAGATTTTAATACACGCGATTATTTTTCTATGGCTCGATGTATATCAACCAGCTTGCTCTAACTCAGAGAGGACTTCACAAAGCGTTAAAGATTCGGGGGACAATACAAGAATATAGATTAGTAAGTCTGATACCTCACTGTGTCTCTGGTTTTTTCTCTTTAATCTTGGGCCCCGCTCATGTTAGGCAAGCGCTCTATACCACTGAGCCACATCCCTAGCCCCGCACTGTGGTCTTGGGTGGGGTACCTCTCGGGAACAAAACTAGGATACCACCTACCTCATTGGAACCCCTGAAAGGAATGAATGTGGCAAAGTGTGCAAAGAGCGCACAGTGCAGGTCCTAACAGAGCAGGCAGCAATTACAAGACGCCAAGGAGCAACACCATGCTAAAGCTCAGAGTGCGGGTTTTCTCGTCCTTACGATGTCTACAGAAGGAGGTCGCCCCACCACGTGAGCGGAGGACAGGCGGCCCAGGGGCTTGCCCCAATTCCTTACTTACCCCGGTCAAACTTCTTGCCTTCCGGGTCAATGTCTTTCACATCAAAAATATCCTCAAACAGGATGCCCGCCATCGTGAGCGGGCCACGAGAGAAGCAGCAGCGCCGGGAACTGACCCTCACTTAGAAAAAGCGGGAGAAATAAAAGCCGAAGAGCGGCAGTGCAGGAGCACAATGACGCATGCGCACCGACTGCCAGTAGCGCAGCCACTTCCGTCGCCGCCTCCCTCTTGGGGCTTCTTCACTTCCGCCCCTACTGCTTGCTCCGGAGGAGCGAGCGCATTGACGGTGGGTCTCGGGTCCTGATGACTCCGCCCAGGGCGGGGATTGTCTCAGGCCCCACCTCCCAGGGGGGCGGCGTGAGTTGTAGCGCTCTGCTGAGGGGCTCTACGGCGCCCTCTGCAGAGTCCGGGTTCGGAAGACTGGAATGCTTGGGGGCCTAACCCAGGGAAGGACCTTGATCCTTGGCCCACAGAAGCCCAGCCCTGGCCCTACCCTGCCTGCCTGCGTGCCCGCGTAGGGCACAGTCCGCGCCGGGGGCGAGTGGAGCAGAACTCCGCCCCCAGAGCGCTGATCCGTAGGGCATGGTGCCCAGACCCTCCAGCTGGCAGCAAGGCCCTCCGGCGCTGTCCAGGCCGGCCCAGCCCTGCTGGACGTCACTCGAGCCGGGTCGATCCGGTTTGGGAATTTGCCATGATGTCACTATGGAGAAGAGAAAAGCCTACACTGTCTCTTCGACTTGGTACCGCCCGCTCCCCACACTGGTCTCTTTCTGGGCACTGATCTTCGTGCCCCTGCATGCTGGCTGGGCAGCTTCTTCCCTCACGCTGCCCCTTCTCTCGAACACTGCACCCCTCCCTGGGCACTGCCCCCTCCCTAGACACCGCCTCTGCGTCCCACACTGCGCCCCCCCCGATCCCTGGACAATGGCGCTCAACGCACTCCGCTTTACCCTTCAAGGACCCGGAGAACCAACGTGGAGCCCCCGCGGGCCGTTCCCCTAAAGCAGCGAGATGTCAGCAGCTCCTTGGGTTTCTCCTCGGGCCTGGCCAGGGAGAAGCAACCTCTGCCCCCCACGCCCGCCTCCCAGGAGTGGCCTTCTGGCACCTACGACTCCCTTTCCTGGGGCCTCACCTCTTCCCGCCCCCTCCCTGGCAGCCTCAGGTGCACCTGGCTGGGGAGCCCCCTCCCCAGGAAGGAAAGGGAAGGGTTGAGGGGACAGCTTCCCTCGGCATCGCCCCCCAACTTTGCTTCTCACCCTGGCCCGGGCAGAGGAGGAACCTTCCCTGGCCGACCGCACCGTCCGATGGACAGACGGGGCTGCTCCCGACGGGTCCGGCCCAGGAAGCCTGAGCCACACGGCCCTGCACCCACCATCCGGACCCCCTCCCCAGGAAGGAAAGGGAAGGGTTGAGGGGACAGCTTCCCTCGGCATCGCCCCCCAACTTTGCTTCTCACCCTGGCCCGGGCAGAGGAGGAACCTTCCCTGGCCGACCGCACCGTCCGATGGACAGACGGGGCTGCTCCCGACGGGTCCGGCCCAGGAAGCCTGAGCCACACGGCCCTGCACCCACCATCCGGAGACCACA